GCTTTCAGAAGGGCTATGGAGAAAATATCCACCAATACTACTCTGATCTCTTCGCTAGCCATGTCCTCTTACCGTCATATAAATTGAAAGAGAACGAATATGTCGTCCCACCGGTCCTCCCCTCCAAAATCCGACATGCTATATCGTCGGTGAAGAACAGAACAACACTAGATCCAGACAGGATTAGACCAAGACACCTGAAGAACGTGCCGCCAGTTCTCATCAACAGCTTGGCTCGGCTCTTCACTCGCTATCTGTCAGAATGCAAGGTACTATTCACTGAAAAACCAGTGAGACCGTATTGTTGTTCAAAAAGGGAGACCTTTACGACATAGGCAAGTATCGCCCAATCTGCTTGCTGTCCGTTGTCTATGAACTCTTTACTCGAGTTATCCTAAACAGGATCGACAGAACACTGGGCGAAGGACAGTGCGAACATGTAGGGTTCCGAAAAGAATTTAGTACCATAGACCACATCCGCATGATTACAAGACTCACTGAAGTTTAACGAGAGTACGGACAACCACTCTGTATCATTTCCATTGATCTGAAGAAAGCCTTTGATTCAGTGGAAACGGAAGCGGTTATAAAGGATCTGGATAACCAGGGGCGTTCCTACTCGGTACATAGTGATCCTTCGTGAGCTCTATAAAGATTTTACGACCAAAATATCTCCATTTTACACCAATATCACCATTAACGTATGAAGAGGGGTTCGACGAGGCAATACAATTTTGCCAAAACTATTCACTGCCACCCTGCAAATCGTCATGCAAACATTAGAAAGGGACGATAAAAAAGGATAAAGCTCTCGGCGACCATCAATCCTTGAAGGATGCGCCATGCATTCGACTTCAATGTTTAACTTCGTTTGAGGTGATTGAATGCATATCTGGCCTTTACAATGACTCGCGGTGGCCTCCCGCTGAACCAAGTCAGTGCTGCTTATCCTCCTAGACAAGTCTGAGACCTGTCTGGTACCAATTTACCGACCCCGGAAGGATGGATGGCTTGGTGAGCCATGAGCGCGAGATCAAACCATTGACCTCGCGTGCGACGTAGAGCACCTCTAATCACTGCGCCACATGCGCTCAAAGGGACGATATGGGAGTGAAAATTGACGGTCGACAATTAAACCATCTTCGCATTGCTGATGATAGCGTTCTCATAACACCAAGCATCAGTCAAGCGGAACGAATGTTGACCGATTTCGACAACGCCTGTGGAAAGACTGGTCTTCAACTAGACCTAACGAAATCGATGTTCATAAGGAACGGATGGGTTTTGAATGTCCCATTCACGCTCAACCGAACGACAATCTCCGAATGCTCCAGTTACGTCTATCTCGGTCGTGAAATCAAGATGATGAACGACTTAGCTCCAGAGTTGAGCAGGAGGAAACGAGCGGCTTGAGGAACGTTAAAGATCGTCGAAGATGTAGTGAAGAAGGCTAAGAGCATCCGATTTCGTGTTCACCTTTTCGACTTGACGGTTATCCTTGCCCTAACTTATGCAGCATAAACCTGGTCGCTACGCAAGCAGGATGAAAGATCACTTGGAGTTATCGAACGCGCAGTCGAAAGGTCGATGCTAGGAGTATCCCGCTACTCGCAAATGAGAGAAAGGATCCGAAGTTGCGACCTACGTCAACGATCGAAAATCAGAGACGCTATTCTACATGCCAGGACATCGAAAATAAGGTGGGCCGGACACGTGATGCGCTTCAACGACAACCGATGGACGAGAGCCGTTACCGACTGGATTCCGCGGGACGTCAAGCGCTCTAAAGGAAGACCACTGACCCGTTGGTCCGATTTCTTAACGAAAGTTATAGAAGAAAGATATGATGCTCAGCGAATCCCTAGAGCGAGGAAGACCCACTGGGCTACTCTTGCACGCGATAGGAAAAATGGAAGTGTTTGCTGGTACTCGCTTGTATTGAGTTGGGAGACAGAAGAAAAGATGAATGATTCAGTGGTCATAGTGATAAGGCTGTAAGATGTTGATCATGACATTACTATGCTTTTTCATGACTGGTTCAAACTAGTTAAGCATGGAATTTGTGCCTACATGACCATCGTGCTTCCTGCTCAAAAGTTTTGTTCAAAGACTTATGAAGACTAAATAATTTGAACGATATGAGTATGCATACGCCCGAAATATTTCTCCGATAAACTTGCAATTTGCTCATGGTATTAGCGCGCTGGTACTTACGCTTTCAAAAAGACGAATGCGCCAAAAGGCTTAGTCAGCTGAACTGAATTTAGACAGTTCTGTGACAGAATTCAAGACTGCACAAGACGATGCGAGAATGCGTGAGTTAGCCGCACATTCCGGTTTGAAGATGCGACATCGCGTGCTGAAACGCCACTTCTTTTTCTTTTCTCTCTCCTGATTCTTTACAGAGCAAACTAATCATAAGTTGCTCCTGTCATATGAGAGCGAATGAATAAATCTCTTAGCCTCATGCATGGACACAGCATCACAATGGCTATTCTTAACGAGCAAGCTACTTAATTGCACTTCTTCTTAAAGTGGGGAGCATATACAGTGGTTACATGCACTTACAAAATCGTGGCTGAAAGGTCAGGAATTGGTGGTAATCTCGTCTGAGGACAGGATAGTCGGAATGAGAATTAGAGGAGCACCTTGGTCAGATAGGGAAAAACTATTACACTTTCGAATACGAGGAACAAGGGCTGGCGAGAGGAAGATATGGCTAGGAAAAGCCGATATGTGAGGAGTAGGGAGAGGTAAAAGAAAGACAGCTATCGTAGAAGAGAACGTAGGTCCAGACGCCATCTTTAGTATTATCCGATTGCTTTGTCTCTAAATAATGTGAGCATTTCCTGAAACGCTCAACTCGTTTCACATACTCACTTAAGCGTCATTTCTCGATCTACTCTATTCTTCATAGGATCAAAATTGCAAGCCTAGTATGGCATAAGCGGAATGAATATGACGTACAACTGGTCGTTGAAATCTGACAGAACGGTGCGTGGATATTTGATTATTTGATTATCAATAAAAACGTTGACAATGTTTTATAAACATGTGGCAATGCATAGAAGAGCTTGGATTGTAAAGGTGTCATAATTTGTGGAATCTTCGATAGAACCAAAAATTAATTGCTTTATGAAAATCGAGAAAACTCATTTGATTAGCTGACTCGAGGTTGGTAAATTATTCGTGGAAATTCGGCTGAAGTTTCGGCGACCCGCCTTGTTCAGAGCTTGGGCGTATGTAATATTAGTCTATTTGAATGATTCGGATGGTCTTATTTATATGCTGCCTAGGTCAAGTTAGAAGATCAAACGAAGAAAGGGGGCAAGATCTCGTGTGATGGTGACGCACTCGTCCTTCCCGTTCATTTCGGGAATTTGGTCGTTTATCCAAATGCCCCAAGAGTTTTGCGCGTGGATGTTTTTGATTCCTGCGTTAGGATTGTGACAGTCACATCAAAATCCTTGTAGTTGTGTCTTTGTGCCCTATGTATACCTAAAGGTTTGGTTTCATCTATTTTAGATTTACTATTCTAGATTTTCTTTTATGCGGATGAAAATTGGTCTCACCCGTTTCGCCTATATATTCTTCCCCGCATGTTTTACATGTTAGTAAATGAATTGTGCCCGATCTCATACAATCCCCCTCTTTTCCGTTAGAGCAGATCATACAGTTTTTCGTGTTGCACAATCGATCATAAAGTCTATTGCGGATCAGCTGATGGCGTATACCATCCGAATCATTCAAATAGACTAATACTACATGCGCCCAGGCTCTGAAGAAGGCGGGTTGCCGAAACGTCGGCCTAACTTCTACGACTAATTTACCAACCTCGCGTCAGCTAATTAAGATAAGCTTTCTCGATTTTCATATAACAATTAATTATGCCGAGGTTTACAGAAAGTTGAACTTTTGGAACCATAAATGTCGAAAGAGGGCAACGTCGAAGGGCACTTTGACCGCAACACTGCTTGCTAAAGAGTGGAACGGCGGAAGTTGATTGTTGGTTTCTAAGAACTATTTCATAAAACCGACATAATCAAGCACAGTGAAAGCTACCAAATGTACATACGGCTTAAACGATTGTTAGATCGCCGAAGGCAGAGTCAAACCGTCTATTTCATTCTCCTAGACATCATAATTCGTTTACCTACTAAATCATTTGCCCTGTAACTTGCCCAATACTTTTTGTCATGTTTTCATGAAACCTGACAAAGCGTCCCCATCATTCTGGTTGTTCAAAAGGCATTGAAGACATCTTCACCTTTTGGTTCTGTGCAAAGCAATGTTACAGAAGGTGGTTGATCGATGGGGGCGGGTCATATGGCTTATAGATTATTGAGTTATAGTTGTCACGTGAAGTTGTTTTACGAGCGTTTTATTGATAATCACGCAACCAAGGAATCAGAAAACCCCCTAAACATAAATCATGACTATTAGTAGGGTAGGCTAACGTAAAAAAGCAAAGTAGTGAGACGTTCAATGTCTCTGGCATAAAACATCCCTCTTTCTAAGAAGAAGGAGCGCTTTGTAAGTGATTGCTAGACAAATGTGTGGTCAAAAGTATGCGTGCATAATTCAAGTACTGTTTCGGCTGGTCGGCTTCAAAGCCTCTTCAAGATTTTCTGCGACGTCATTTTTAAGCCTCTTGTGATTGAGTTTGGTTCACATTACCAGTCAGATTTTCCATGATTCAGTCAAATGGCATTTAGCATATGTAGATTACGAGTGTGAGAATGTTTCAGTGATATTGATGAAATATGCAATAAGATGTTGAGCATTACAGTACTTTGCGTTTTCATAGTGTTATCATAAGTAATTCTGCACACAATTCATGCTCATGTGTGGATGCTCCATTTTTGGTGAAAAGTTTGTTTAATGAACGCACGAAGAACGAATGACATGAATATACGGCATTAATAGTATTTTAATGCATTTCGCATTGTCATGATGTTTTTGTATATACCTAAGAGGAATGAGTGGTGAGCAAAAAACGCGGCCTCAGGAGGGAATCGAACCTCGCGTTCCATCCTATCAGGGGACGCATGCTCTACCACTACACCACCGAGGCGCGTTTGCCCGACCAATTATTCTTCAACATCTCAATGCTAGCTATTAGCCACCAACCAGCGTTTTTGCTCACCACTCAATTCTCTTAGGGATATGAATATATTCAGAACATGATGAATAAGAATGTGAACACATTTATAATACGTTCTCATAAAAAACTTGCACTTTGCTCGATAGTATTAGCAGACTGGTTTCCCTCTTCTACTCACTTAAGATTTGCAATATCTATGCCGCAATCTTTCCGTGACATTGAAGCTGAAATCTCACAAAATCGACATTCCTAGAAAAGGAGACTTTTCAGTGGTTTATTCTTAGCATTTGTCTAGTGCAAAATTACTAGCATTTCGAATGGCCGACTTTCAGGCGTCTTTTTTCTCCTTAAAGTACGGACTCAAGTTGTACTAGATATTTGAAGGATTTGGCAGATAATCGAGGTCTCACCATAGGTGAGGGACAAAGAAGTCATTTCCGACCCCAATTGTAGAATTGTTCTACCACTGTGACCCAAAACTATCGAAGTATACATTTTTTGGGGCAAAAACTACTACTGAAAGGGCAGTGGCCGAGTGGTTGTGCTACTTGTCGCGGTACGTGGCAGATTAAACACCGCCCCTAACATTCCCTGGTAGTCAACATAATATTCTAAGACTCAAGAAGAAGGCGAGAAACGAATTGAATACTACAAGTGTTGGATCTGCACAGTAACATGTTTTGTGAAAATAAATGAATTAAGTGTAAGAAAATAAATGTTTCTTGACAAACATATGATTTAATCACTATAACTCATGCCTCAGCGTAATTAATGCCTTTACATCGTTCCTCAAAAGGCGCCTTGATCAGCCTACAAAAAGTTTGAACGATTTTTGGCCAACTTAATAAAGGCTATATATGCATCTAGTCGCCTCTGCTATGCTACAAACAGAATCAACCCAGAGAGTACCCGTCAAGGACTGACTGACACCGAAAGCTCTATCTTTTATAGCAGCAGATGGCGCTAGATGCCAGTGGAAGACGTTTGATTTTTTCTTTCAATATAAAGCCGCAAGCTGCCCGATGAAGAAAACGGACAGATCTCACCTGTTTCACTTGGAGTTTCTGCAGCGTGTCGTTGTCGCATATTCGACGACCATCATGGTGGAAGTTGTAAGCAATGAAACGTGAATTCTACTAAATGTCGAAGAGACCTATAAAGTTTAACTTGCAATATAAGAAGAAAAAGTTACCGCAGCGCTCCTACAGCTACGGATGCTATCAGCATACGATTTTTTTACTTCTACCCATAAATGTACCGCTCTTAACGCGAAAATGTGCCTCATTTGAGGCCTAAAATCACTGCTTAATGAACACTACGGTCTTATACCATTTCGAGAAGCATTTAGAACTATGTTTTTCTTATCATATCATAGAAGTATAGAATGGATTAGCTGAAATAGGTAACGGTCACGAGTTGTACACCCAGGAAGTGGAATTCTATGATTCCGTACACCAAGCACATAGAGAAAAACTAGTATAAACCTTGATATAAAGGCTTACGTTTGCATAGTAAAAACACCTTCCCTTCACACTTACCCGCTTTGTACGTCGACCACGTGTCGTGCCCTGTTACTACGGGACCACTCGCATGGGTGGAGCAGGTAAATCGGGAAGGGGGAGGGAGGAGTTTGCACTGCTCAAATCAAGGAATCGATCGGAGCAGTGCGGAGAGGCGGCCACTCACGTGTAACCACGTGAAACCATCATCTCCCCACCATACTCGTTTTAACCCTGCACATTATCTCGCCCTGTCCTCCTTCTTTCGCTTTGAATCACTCTGTGACTGGTATTCGTCGGCTTTCGTCTCCATCGCTCATGACTTTATTCAGTTGCTCCGGATATGTTCGCTGTTATCCTGTTTACCGGATGTCTTTGCTAGAATTTTTCAATTACTCCGTGTGGTTGTGCTTCCACTTATACAAAGTACTCTACGAGTTGTCGTAATTTGGAGCGTAGTGGCCACAAAGTCGCCAAGTTCGCTCCCATATTCTTCAAAGAGTTCACCTGTATCACCTGTCACGTGTCGTTCCGTTGATCGTTGAATTGCTCGAGCAAACACAAGCAGCACTTCCGTATTTTCCTATTGCGTGCAGGAGCAGCCCAGCGGGTACTCATAGCTCTAGGGTTTCGTTGAGCATGATATCTTTCTTCTATGCTTTACGTGAAGAAATCGAACTATCGGGTCAATGGTCCTTCTACGGAGCGCTTGATGTCCCAAGGGATCCATTTGGTGAGGGCTCTCGTCCATCGGTCGCCGTTGAAGCCCATCTCGTGTCCGACTCACCTTATTTCTAGTACTCCTAGCATCGATCTTTGGACTGCCCTTTCAATAAGGCTATGTGATCTTTCATCCTGTTTATGTGGCGACCTGGTTTCTGCTGCATACGTCAGGGCACGGACAATTGCCAAATCGCAAAGGAAAGCACGATGTTTGATGCTCTCTGTTCTCTTCACTACATCCTCGTTGCACACAAACATTCCCCAAGAGCGCTCGGCTGCTCCTGCTTAACTCTGGAGCTAAGTCGTTTATCATGTTGATTTCACGACCTAGACAGAGGTAACTGGAGAATTCGTTTGCTTCATTTCTCGCTTGTTTCCTATATCCTATATCGCTTCCTATATCGCTTCTCTGCAACGCTTCGCAAATTCGAAAATGAGATTTCGGTTTTCCGTAGCTCGTGCGATTCCACGCTGACTCATCAACTCAAGTGTTTGCAGAGACGAGCGTCTCTTTGTGAATTCAGGGCTCTCGTATTTCATAGCGCTAACGTGGAAGGTATTCTGCAAGCCGGTCATATTCTTCGCTTAGTTCGTTTCATTTAGTCAAAGCTTAGTCCGACTTGGTTTATTCGACTAGTATTCTACAAGGTTCAAGAATACGAAAAGCGATTATTAGAAATGCTAGGATCCAAACAGGAGATTCAAAAAATGCTGTGAAGACTGGTGAGAAAGTGCCAAAAGTTTTGATGTGCGTGTATCATTCTCTTATTTGAGAGATTTGGTACGGCAGATAAAAATTCTTTACGAAGAAGGTGAAGGACGCTCAGTAAGTTTAATGAGTCTACAAAAAGGCCATAAATGAAGCTATCTATTAGCAAGGAAAACTACTCGAAACGTCGCACAAAGTTTGAGGTCACTCGTTCAGAAATCGTTAGTCCTATAGGAGACACTGAAAAGGTAAACAACCTTAGTTAGCGGATGCCGCACAGAATGGAATCAGAGTGGCAAAATCGCCGTTAGTGACTTTTGTTTTCATCTTAGATTGCAAAGACCCATTCGATATAATTTGGTGTGTGAAAAAGTGTGTTGTGCACGACAATCCATGGCGTTCGACGCGCTTGCTGGGGAAAAATAAAGCCACTTCAAAACACTGGCGCCATAATTCTGCCTTCAGAATATTATGGCTATTATATGAATGCTATTGAAAATTTACGCCAGCTTTCAAATCGTGGGGAAAATTGCCAAACAGGAATTTCTGTCGTAAAAACGATAAAATTCGCCAAATACTGAAGATCTGCAACGTTTTCGTGATCACGAAGAGTTGAACCTTTTATCTAATCACAATACACTGCATATGAAACAGTCAGCAATGCTGAAACTAAACGATTTGTACTATGGGAAACTCGCCTCACTTACCTCAGTCAGTTAACCTCGCTTCGTCCGATTAATACTTTTCAGGCACCTTGAAGCTACTTATAAATTACTCTGACATAGAGGTAGAAAGGTGCCCCAAAGAATTCTTTAGACGGCCTATATTCATTTTGTACCCCATTTTCTGGAGCCTTTCCCACCCTCGAGTGTGATTGAATACATAATTGAAGCTTATAAAAATCCGTGATGCAATGCCAATATAATAAGTTAGTTTTACTATTCTCTTCAAAGGACGTCTGGTACCAATTCGCCATCTCTGGAGTCCAGGAAGCTTGGCGAGCCACAGGATAGCAAACAAATCATCGATCTCGTGTGCGTCGCATGGCACCAATAATCACTGCTTATAGGCAAATTCGTGAATCTTTCTTTGTTGTGAATGTTTAGTGTATAATGCAGGTACACTCGAATCGAACCAATGTGTCAGAATTGCTGGCCACGGTACATCAGAGATTGTGTCATTAGAAGTACACTTTTATTAGTCAGAGGTTCCATGTGATAGACTGCGACTTTGTGTGAGTCTGCCAGACGAGACTTCTCTCATTTGCTTTTGAGTTGAAATGCTTAGATTTTGATTACAACGTTCATCGTATAATAACAGTACAATACTGGCAGTGCAGGACCATATAGACAGAGTAATGAGGCAGTATATACTGGAAGAATGGCCAAAGCTCATTCCAAATCAAAAGCGAAACCAAATAGATCGTCTGTTATTCATCTGTTCATCTGAAGCGTTCAAATGAAAATGAAGAAAGTTCAAGAAGAGATAGTTATTCAATCTCAACAACATCGAGTTAAAAGTGACAGACATTCCCGAAGAGTACTTACAAAGTTCAAGTGTCAATATAATCAAAGCACTGCAGAAATAGAACTTTTGTGAATTTTGGCATGAGAAAAATTTTTAACATAATTCTATCAGTTATTCAATAACATTCGTGAGAAGGAATAAAAATCTAGACCAGAAACAAAATCTTTTTGAAATTGGTTGAAAGTTGGTACAGAAACTTAGAAAAGGACTATTGAGAGAGAAACCGACTGAATGCCAAAAATGTTGTAAGAATATTATTTCGTTGTCAAGTTGCAATAACAGAATTCTGTAGTTGCCATATGTCTTACACTTAACAATTTCTAGAAGGGAAGTTGCTAGAAGAATTGAAAAAAGTAGATGCTAGCAGGATTACGAAAAATGCTAATAGGCAAAGTACTTGACATTTCTGTTTCACTAACTTCATGTCTTCTAAGCGCAGACTATCAGAGTCGAACCAACAACAAATATAAGAAAAAAGAACTAGTAGTTAATCAAAAATTTCCCTCAGACAG